GGAATTGGGGGAAACCTCTCTGGAATTGGGGAAGTCATTAATTCTTCAAAACCCACTACAAATTCTTCAAAACCCACTACAAATTCTTCAAAACCCACTACAAATTCTTCAAAACCCACTACAAATTCTTCAAAACCCACTACAAATTCTTCAAAACCCACTACAAATTTTAAAGTTCACGAGTTTTTTAAATTTTGGTACAATTATTTTACATTTCACTACAATTTTTTAAGTTACGCCACAAAATTTTGACTTAATTTTAGACTTAATTTTCATAAATGTAAATTTCATTAGAAATTTTAAATCTCAAGCATTTTTAAATTTCATGACACATCTTTTAAAAATTAAATTTAATTCCATTAAAAGTTTCTAAGTTTCATTACAAATTCGGATTTTCAGTAGAGAGCGCAACCACGAATGGCAAATTTACCCTAAAAAGACCCAATTTCCCTTCATTTTTTCCTATTCTTGCCACATTTTCAGGGGTGTTTAAGGCCTTTTTAATGGGTAGGGGTACCTGAGGGGATTTTTGGGGTGAAAAGCGGGGATTTGGGGTGTTTTGGACCCACCTCCTCGCAGCAGTGGCGGCTGACGGCCGCTCTGTGGTTCATCCGGGCCCAGAGGCGATCGCGGCGGCGCAGGAATTGGGGGAAAATTCGGTGCCAGCGGCGGCCGAGGGCCCAGGGGAAGATGCAGAATTTGGTCTCCTCCTCATCCTCCTCCATGTCGTGAGCCAGGTACCTGCAGGGGCAGCAAACGGGGTGAGTGCCAGGGATTTGGGGCAATTTTGGGGCTGGGACAGGTGGGGAGGGGGTGAGGAAGGTTGGGAAGGCTTGGGTTTGGGGCTTAATTCACTTTTTGGGGGGGGTTTAATGGCATCATTAGGGCCCTACTTCATTAGCAAGAGCTCATTAGGGCCCCCTGCTTTGTTAATGAGTGGGGGGGCTTCGTTAGAGCCAGAAAATGGGGTGAATGCAGGAGATTTTGGGCAGGAATAACGGGAAAAGGATGAGGAAACTGGGGGATTTGGGGGGTTTAACCCTATTTTTGGGGGGTTTAGAGGCATCATTGGGGCCACCTTCGTTAGCACATGCTCATTAGGGCTCCTCTGCTTTGTTAATGAGTTGGGGGGCTTCATTAGAGCCAGAAAATGGGGTGAATTCTTGGGATTTGGGGCAGGAATAATGGGAAAAGTATGAGGGAACTGGGGGATTTGGGGGGTTTAACCCTATTTTTGGGGGGTTTAGAGGCATCATTGGGGCCACCTTCGTTAGCACATGCTCATTAGGGCTCCTCTGCTTTGTTAATGAGTTGGGGGGCTTCATTAGAGCCAGAAAATGGGGTGAATTCTTGGGATTTGGGGCAGGAATAATGGGAAAAGTATGAGGGAACTGGGGCTTTAGGGGCATTTAACCCCAGTTTTGGGGGGTTTAATGGCATAATTAAGGCCTTGCTTCATTAGCAAGAGCTCATTAGGGCCCCCTGATTTGTTAATGAGTGGGGGGGCTTCATTAGAGCCAGAAAATGGGGTGAATTCTTGGGATTTTGGGGAGGAATAACGGGATAAGGATGAGGAAACTGGGGGATTTGGGGGGTTTAACCCTATTTCTTGGGGGTTTAGAGGCATCATTGGAGCCCCCTTCGTTAGCAAGAGCTCATTAGGGTCCCCTGCTTTGTTAATGAGTAGGGGGGCTAAATTAGAGACAGAAAATGGGGTGAATTCAGGAGATTTTGGGCAGGAATAACGGGAAAAGGATGAGGAAACTGGGGCATTGGGGGGTTTAAGCCCAGTTTTGGGGGGTTAATGGCATAATCAAGCCCCCCCCTTCGTTAGGAAGCGCTCGTTAGAGCCCCTGCTTCATTAGCAAGGCTACGTACAGGGCAGTGAAGAGGTTGAGGCGGGTGTACTTGGAGGTGGGCAGCCGGGCACGCCTGAAGTACGTCAGCGCCATCGCCAGGAGGTACTGGGGAATGAGGAGAAAATCGGCGATTTTAGGCAAAAAAAGCACTAAATTTGGGTAAAAACGGTGGTTTTGCCTTAAAAAATGATAAAAATTATGGGTTTCGGTGGGCTAACCTTGTCAGAAACCCTGCAGCAGACATCCATCGACAGGAACTCCTGCACCACGGTATCCTCTGGAAAAGTTATTGAATAAAAAGTTAATTTGGGGGGGGTAAAACTCCCAATTTTAGAGATTTTTTTAATAAAATAGGGTTTGTTTTTTCCCTGTTTTGGGGGATTTTGGTGGTTTTTTTGAGGGCGGTTTCCTTACCCAGGAGGGCAAAGAAGGCTTCTTGCTCCTTGCGGTGCAGCTGGAGGCTGGCGGTGGTGGTGGGGCTGGGGGGCTGCTCATCGCCGCCCCAAATTGGGGTGCTGGGGGGCGGTGGTGAAGGAGGGGGCTTCATGGAGAGAGGATTTGGCCTAATAAAGAGAAAATAACAAGAAAAAAAGCATTTTTATTCGTATGTTAATGCATTTTTTTCTGTCCAAAACCGGTTTATTTGTGCTCAGGGGCATCAAAATTTGGCTTTAATGAGGTAAAAATGGTATAAATCTCCCCTTTCTCCCTGCTGAGGGAATTTATAAGTAAATAAAAAAGGACTTAAAGGGCTGTATTTGCTTACTTTAATTTAACACTAAGGCATGATTAAAAGGATATAATAAACAGGGACAACAGAGCCCTCAGAGCCCAAAATCCCCCTTCAATATTCCCCTAAAACCCCCTTTTCCCTCACCACAACGGCTATGAGGCACCATACCACATAATTCATTTGCATATTAACGAAATAAAAGGAAAATAAAAGCATTTACAGAGTTATTTTCACCTCACAGCACCAGGGCTCAGCCTCTCCTCAGGAAATCGGGTGATTTTACCTCATAAAACCTCATTTTTTACCTCAAAAAAGGAAGAAAAAGGGAGGGGGAGGGAATCCCCTCAGGGAGCAGCGGCGCCATCGCTGCTTTCCCGCTCTTTTTCGCCTCACCTGAGCAGAACGCACGCGCGAGCAGGAGGAGCCAAGTTAACCCCGCCCCCTCGCCGAGCGACGCCTTCTATAGGCAGAGCGCCGGCGGAGCCAGCCAATCAGAAGCCGGAGAAGGAAGAGGCGGGGAAACC